GTTCCGTGATAAACTTCAGAGTGGAGAAAACACATGTGATATCACTTGAACTCATATCAATCATTGGGAGGAATACCACTGATGATTTACCAGGATGGTTGCCATGATGAACAAACTGCATCATTCCTGACCAAGCAGGTCTAGAGGGACCAAACAAAAGTGACGTCTTCCAAATGATTTCGAGATTTGCTGTTGGATCTTCAGCTGTCTTGGAGACTGTATCCTTGTACTTCACTTCAGCAATACCCTGGCCTTCGACTACATGGAACTGTATTTGAATGTGTCCTGTTGTGGATATATCTTTTGGACTAACATTTTCTCTTGGAATACAGTTGGTTTGCTTAGTACCTGGAGTGACAGTAGCTATTATCCCCATACCATGAAATGTATCATTTCCATCCAAGGTTCTTATGTTATGGTCCACATTGTCTGCTGCATACTGAACAAACTCACTTGAGAAGTTGGGTATGTCTGTCCCTTGATATATTGCTGCATTCTGTCCAAATCGTTGTGTGTCTAAGTATGAACTACAGAATCCATGACGGTGGAGTGAGTCTATTAGGAAACGTGATGCAAAATGGTGATGTAGCTGCACTGCCAAACCAATTTGGAGTGGCGCAAGTAGAACCCTGGGATGAGATGCTTGTATAATAGCCTGTCCAATTGATGCCAGCTTCACTCCAATGTCCACAAATATTTCTTTTAAAAAACACTTGAGAGACTCTGGTACAAATGCAAGACATTCTTCTTCCGATTCCATTACACTAGAGGGTGGGTATGTTATCATTACACGTTTCGATTGATTTTATATCATCTCTAATTAACTTGGCAGCTGCTTCTATAATGTTAAATTTCTCTCTCTCTGGGTCCTTTTCCTGGCGAGCATGAAATTCTTGGAGAACAGCCTCCGCAGTTGTCTTGAAAGTGACTACATTAGCCTGTCCATTAATTTCGGTTATTATTATCTGATTGCCAAAATGCTCATTAAGTTGTGCCTTCATGTGTGTATGGCTATATGCTGTACTTTCAGAGTCCACTAAAAATCTGTCCAACTCGATGAGATCACTTATGGTAACTTGCTCATCATCATTTTCTTGAAGGAACTGTGCAACTTCAAGATATGCATTTGTTCTTTCTTCATCATGTAGTCTACCCATCTTCTTTCTTTTGGAAACATTTTGCCTAGCCATGTACTTCTTAGGAATTTGCTTCCCAGTACGAAAATTTACACTGCACACCTGGTGATACACAGCATCAGCAGCAGGTAAGTCATGTACACTTAGAATTCTATCTCGTACATTGTTGGCCCATGCATCTTGCCTATCTCTGCAGGTTGCCAATAATGCTCCTTTGTAGTCAATGTGAAATAGCTTCCAGGTATTTCGAATTCAATTGGAGTGTTACAGAAGAGACAATCAGAGCAAAAGGTGAAGCTTTTTTCAAGTGAACGCAGTTTGCGAGTACTCGGTACTTGGACTTGCTCAACCTGCCTCTTTGCCTGGGCTATTTTCAATGGATTGCAGTGAATACGACGACATTCCTTGTGAACTTGTTGGCCAGGCACAGTATGAATAGTAGTGTCACCACGTTCTTCACTGGCTTTGTTAACACCGACACTTCCTTTCACACCCAGGGTAATGATAGCTGATTTTTCACCACCTAAATACCTTTCACATATAGCACATTTACTTACTTCAGCCATTGCAGACACGTAATGAACAACAGTCTGAAATAAATGTAAAAAAATAGACTACTCATTGTTGGCAGTTTAACAATAATCAAAAATGTCATGTTAAATCTAGCAAATTATATACTTACCCAATGATAATACTTTT